TGCATGAAGCTACCGGAGTCAGAGATAAAGTTACAAATTTTCTAAATAAGTGAGTGTTTAGCAACAGTATGAGTTATATAAAGATATAAGTAGTAGAAAGATATTTAATTTTTATTCATTTTTACCCTTCTACTGTAATCAGATCGTCTTTTCTCCTGAGGTATTAACTGAAACTGAACGACAGCATTGCAACTCCAAATGTTTGATTCACTATCACTGTTACAATAAGCGTAAACGCTGAGATGCTTTATATTGTCAGTGTCAGCGGAGCACTCGGTGTTTGCCGCCAACATCCTGCACTTAGAGAAAAGTGGCGTAGATAAAAGGAATTTTACCAGCATTTCAACAAGGAATTGTTAAAAAAGCACTCAGAAACAAACCACGGAACACCACCAATATCTTGAACTGATGATTTTACTTCATCTTTTAAAGCAGCAAAATCTGGAATCTTCAATGTGATAGATCCTTCATCAACGTGACGAGGTGACAGCCTAGAAATAAATTTTAATTTTGAAGAAGTCAATAAAGTTTTTTCTGGTTGAATTCAAGTTAGGCTGAACAGGAGGTAAAGCCTTGAGAGCCAACAGCATTTGATTGAAAAAATTGTAATTTATCTACTTCTTTTTAAAAACTAGATCAATAGCTCTGAAAAGAAAGCCTTAAACTAGTACTTTGTCTATAAGCCACTTAATCTTTTCAAAATTAACTTCAAAGTACATAAACCTACTTAAATATTGTTTTAACAATTTTACTTGACGTCCCTTTACAATAGAAATTAGTCAATTATAGGCGAGACTAACAAATAATAGCACCCAAAAATATGCATCTTGTCCAAAATGTTCCGCCAAAGGCGAAGCAAATAACAGTTGAAGCTCAGACTGGTTTATTATCAATAACTTTTATATGTCGTTAAAATAAAAAATAAATTAACTCGCCTCATACCAACAGCATCCCTAACAGCAATTTGAGCCTCAATGACAACTTGGTTGTTGCTAATATATCCCTTAGTGGAGTCAACAATTTTAATCCACTCAATAAACTTCCGGAGACCTCGATTGTTATCCCTCGAATTAAATTCCTCTATGATCTAGGTTTAAACGGGTATACAGAAGCCAGTCACAGAAAAGGCAAATAAAAATCTATTATTAAATAAATAATTATATGATTTTTCGTATTGTACTCGAATAATTAATGTTCTTCAAAAGTTTTAGCTTTATACTGAATGATACAGTTTTAGTGTAGTTTGGTATGTCTTTCTCCTGAGATATTATACGGAATTGAACAGTAGCACTGCAGGCCCAATCGTCTGACACGTTTTCACTATTGCAGTAGGCACGAATGCCAAAATATTTCACATTGTCAGTATTTTTCGAGCATTCAATCTCCGCTGCCAGTGTCCTGAAGAAAGCAATAATCAACGAGAAGAAGTATCAGTAGAATAAGGAGGAAATTGTAACAGTAAAGATGCCAAAAAGATGCCATGGAAATCCACAGATATAACGAACTGGTGACTTGATTTCACTTTCAAGAGAACTAACATTCGGTATTTCTAGCTTAATGACTCCCTCGCTAATTCCAGGATGCTTTCTTGATAACTAAATGTGCAGCATTATTAAGGCATATTTAGTATCTTCTCAGATCAGAAATAACACTGTTGACAGGCTAACAAAGAATGCAATCAGATTACATAACAAATTTACTGCCTTCAATTTCAAAAAAGCTTGTAACAAAATTAAAGAGGAAAATTATATCAAATTTGCACCGACCTGACCGTTGAATAACTTTGCAGCATACCTATTATCACCGTCTGAACAAAGCAAATATCTGTAACAGAGATTTAGTTTTAATTATAGTTCATTTTCTTCTTCTAAATTTTTATGTCATAAAAATGAGCATAGTTTAAACGTTTATTGTCGAATGGAAAAATTTAAGCTATACTTGTGAATTTAAGCAGGGTTTATTCGCTTCTGTTGAAGCAAGATTAAAAAATTACATTAGCTATTGAGAAGAAGAAAAAACGTAATAACGGTCAAATACGACACCAAAACATGGAAAGTTTTCACAGTACGTTACATTATGAGTTGGTATAACAGTAGTTACTAAAGCAGCACACTGAAAGCGCTGTTCAGGTGAGGGACGAAAAGCTGACCCGTTATCAACAACCTTATCAACGGTAATTTTTGCTTCGACAATAATTTCATCGTCTCGAATAAATCCCATTTTCGGATTGAAGGCATCATTCCATTTCATAAATTTTAGATAACCACAATTTCCTGAATTCACGTCGAATTTCCCGTTGAGTGGCTAAACAAAAGAATCTTTGACAGAATTTAACATAGCACTTAACAACAGTGGCAGTAGGTGAGATCGTTCGCAGATCTTATTTCGCGATTTTATTTGAATAACTCATACCGGCCTGGCGTAGTCAGTACCTCCTTTCATTTGTGATATTATTCTGAAGTTTATTACTGCGTCACATTTCCACTGCTTTGATTTGTTGCCACAGTTACAAAAAACGAAAATGCCGAGATATTTTACAAAGTCTGTGCTGTCTGAACATTCACAAGTTGCAAGTATCTTCCTATAGCAAAAAAGTTTTTAGAAAAAGCAGCCGACATCAATGGAAGCGACAAAGGAGTATTTGTAAAAGATGGTAAGTAAAAAGAACCATGGAAAGCCACCAATGTCGTCAACCGATACTTCTTTGAACGATAGTAAACTGAAGTTTTGAATTTTTATTCTAACAGCGCCTTCTTTAATCGCAGACTGTCTCGTTGTTGGCTAAAAACAGAATGAACTGGCTGAAAATTTAAGATACCGTTTTTTAAAACTGCTTGAGTCTAGTATTTTCAAAAAATTAGGGTTCAGAAGTTCAGCTAAGTGACAAGCTCATTTTAGTCAACTTGTGCTGTACAATTTGTTTCAAAGAGAAATACTTGAGTATTGCTGCTTCCTTGTTCCTCAGCCATTTTGGAACACTGATTAACGTTGTTGCATTAAGAGTAT